AAACATGTAACTTAACGAAAAACTTAATTGGGGTGATATTGAGTTTTTGATCACTTGAATAATAAAGAGATGATAATGTGTTATGTATGGATTGATGGGATGTGCTCCCTAAGTCTTGCGCAAGCAATTATCGTGTAAAGCCTAGAATGGAACGGACGTATCCAGACTCTTTGCAATTATTTGATTAAGTGAGATAAGGATGGGTCCAAATGAGGCATTCAGGAGGATAAAACTTTTTTTGGAAGAATAAGGTTGCATTTAGGATGACAAAACCTTTTTCTTTTCACTGTCCCTTTTGAGGTCCACTGATGGCACTGCACGATATATAATCGTTGCATGCATCCATGGTATGTTCTGTAAAGCAGCAAAAAAGGGAGTTTCGAATAGTCTGATGTCTAATTCTTGTGGTTAGGAGGATGAAATATGTTTGGGGGATTTCTAGATTACTAATATCTAACCATGTAATTCTTTATTATTGAATGATTATCATGCTTCATTACTTGCTTGTTATAATTATGATGGTGTATTGGATTGCGAAAAATGAGCGGGGTATGTGTGCGTTTACTGGGATTCAAAGCTTATGGCGTTTCATGCTAGGAATTGAGGACTATTAGACTAGTCAAAGGCAAAGCTGAAGTATGTGAAGACATATGGTTACCCCATGAGAGTTAGGAACTAGTTTTGTAAACACGTTTTGAGATTGTAAGTGATTAATCGCTTGTTGTATTTAAGACATGATTTTTTAATTATTATATATATCATTTGTAACCTATCCTTATACTCTGTCAACTCATGTAGGCCTTATGTTAATACTTTGTCAAGATCTATCAAAAGGGTAGCTTGACTCATTCAACCTTCTTGGGATCTTACTTAATTATTAACTAAGGGACACATTATTGATGTTTTCTTCTCTTATAACCTTATATAAACAGTGTATTCATTTGTTAAAATAATCCAAGATGTTCTCCATTTTTGGGGCACCACAGAGGTCCCGAAGTGGAGAGTCCTCAGGGACAGATAGCTTTCAGAGCGGCGATCCAACCAATATAGTAGCCTTTGTTGCAGGGCAAGTTGACTTGTTTCTTGTACTGGTCGCGCACGTCAGCTTAGCCCTCCTCATATGCCTTTTTATTACCTGCCTTGATTTCTTGATCTTTGGTGACCAGGGCATCGGCCAGTTTTTGCTCTGCCTCGATGGCTTTAGTATCAGTCTCGGCCTTTTGTTCAACGGTTCTTGCTGCCCTAATCTTATCTAACTGGCTTTTGATGGTGGCCTCGACCTTATTGAGTTGGGAGTGGTAGCTTAATGTTTCTTGTGTCTTCTTATTCAAGTATTTCTTCATCAACTTGGCCTTGACGGCATGAGAATGGGCGTGCTGAATGGCCCGCAAAGAAAGAAGTGAATTAGTAAAATTTTACTATGTAAATTGAATACAGATGCAAAAGTCAAAAAGATTACTTGAATTGAGTGGTGCATCATTAGAGCAAAGTGCTTATATTCGTTGTATTCACTGATGGTGTTTATGTGGCAGGTAATAAGAGGCCCATGGTAAGCGCAACAGCAACCTTGGGATCTCTCTTTGTGTTGTCCCCGACTTTGAGAAGCTTGCCACCCACCTATATCTCAGGGAGCCAGGTGCCCTCAGGGAAAAACGTCCCTTTCGCCACCAAGGCCGGTCGATCTTGGCTTCTTGTTGCTTGGGCCTTGGCTGATTCTGAAGTTGGCCTTTTCTTAGTAGCCATCGTTGAGATGAACATGTTGTCCTTGGGATCTTTCTCCTTAAAAGAATGAGACGCTGTTTGTTTGGCCTTGGCCCTGGTTTTTTCACCCTATTTGGCTTTTGAACGGATTGAGGAGACGCGGTGGATTGTATGGTAACAATGTTGGGAAGACTAGCAAGAAAATCTTCTATGATGATAGGTTTACAACCCATTTCATCTGAAGTGACGGCGATTGTTAGTTTGGTGTTGAGTTTGAAGGCAATGAGAGCAATCAGTGGGTTTACAGGGTCATGTGCGAGCAAGTTGGTGCCTTGGCATTTCTTTTTGTGAAATCTTCCTACAAGAATGTTGAAAAGTTGGCGACATCGTTCTTGTTGTGATTGCGAGACGTGTTGAGACAGAGCCGAGGTAGAAGGCTGATTGACTAGGTCAAAGGTGGAGGCTTGATATGGGCGATGAGAGGCTGTTGTTGGTGTTGTTGTTGCGAATGGTGGAGTTCTGCTTCTTGATAGAACATCAGGCGGAGGTAATCAATACGTCGAGATATAGTTGAGTAGAATGGGGACCTTGCAATCCTTGATTGGGAGATCGAGGAGTCAGATAAGATCTTTTCATTTGACGTAGGACCTACGGAAAGACTTGCTTGCCTGGGGTAGTTCTACAAAGACAATGGAACATATGTCAGAATTTGACTAAGTATAAGAAAAATGATGTTGAAAGTATGTGATCTAGGAAAACAAAGTGCTTACCGTCATCTTTCTTAAAGATCTCTTTGCGCAAGGAAAAGAGACGCAAGTCGTCGTTTAGAGCAAATTCCTAATTGCTTGAGACAATGAGATAGTCTTTCCCAGTACCCTTGTTGGAGTCTGGAAGGTCGGCTATCAACTTGTTGGTGGTTGATCTGGGTTTGAGGTAGTAGGAGATGCCGCTGGAAGACTTAAGGCTGCACATGGTGTAGCAGTATTGGACATCGGACAGTGTTATCCTAGCATTATGCGAACGACATAACTTGGCTATGCCATTGATTATCCTAAAAGTGTTTATTACTAGTTGCATGGGGTTAAGGTGGTAGTACGATTGATACCACAAAGAATGGCATGTAGTTGTCCCCAGGCATGATAGAATCGTTCTCACTGGCGAGTCTGATATGGACGTCGGTAAGGATATTGGATGTTGATTGGGATATTGAACTCTTGGCAAAAGTTCTCTATTTTGGATCGGGGTGTCTACTCTCCACTTATACATACTTATGATCTCAGCAAAAGTGTTTGGCACAGTTTCCCGAGGGAAAATTCTGGGTGTTTTGTCTAAGGTGTTTAAGATCCTAGGGTTTTTGGAAAAAGTTATGGATGTTTTGAGTTTTTGTTTTCCTAGTGTGTGGCAAAACCCAAATTTTATCCTAGATTGTTCAAGAACAATGGCAGATATGCAAGAATTTGACAGAATAATCTGGAAAATAGTGGAAAAGCATGAAGAGAAACAAATTCAGAATTTGCACATGATAAAAGGCCGTGACACAAAACCTCAAGAGTAGGTGCAAAGCATGAATATCATATTTCAGAGTATGATGAGAATGTGCAAAATGATAGTGGTAGATTGTAAAGAATATGTTCAAGAACATAAAGAACAGTAAAAAAAAAAAAATGAGGTTGAAAAGGCATGAATGATGGACTTACAGATTGGAGATGATGAAATGAATGCCAAAATTGTGATCGCCATAGTAAGACGGTTACTTTGGTCTGAGTAAACTATTGGAACGGTTGTTGGAGTTGGTAAACCAAAGGGGTTGCAAGGAGCTTGAACAAGCGTCAATGGAGGTCAGAGGAGAGTTTTAGATATATATATATATAGAGAGAGAGAGAGAGAGAGACTGAAATGAGAGAAAGTGGAAAATGAAGAAGTGAAGAGACGAAGAGAAATGGAGAGAGTTTTGTGGGAAATGCAAAAGATGACAACAAAATCATTTCATATGCCTTGGAAGACATGCTCACACCGATGTCAGCTGGCGTTAGGTAGCATGGGTTAGGGTTAATGCGACGCATTTGCAACATGATGAGTACGGATTGGTGAGGTGATGACACGTGGGCGAAACAGTTTAGGTAGTTATAACATGATAGCTCATGGGTTTTGGACTTATGAAATTCTTGAACAAGTAAGTCATGACCTTGGCTTGTGGCGCAATCTCGGTTGAGATATTGAACTTGAATGAGAAAGAACATTTTAGTTCTTAATTTTTGACTAGTGCACATGTAAGTCCTTGATTTTTGAAGCCAACGAGTCATGACCTCGGTCGGGGGAGTATCTCTAGCATGTTGTTTAGCTGACAAGTTGGAAGATAGACGATATGGGTTCTATTATCTCAAGATGCCAAGTTGATAGAATCTATGGAGTAGTTGTGGAGACATATTTTTGGGGCTGTCTATGTGATCGAAATTGTTAGCCGATGCGCCACATGGATGGATCGAGATGCCGCTATATGGTGCTATTATACCGGAATCTGAGATATTTGAATAAAGCACAAGAGTCTGTGATAGTTTGAGGCTGTTTGTGCAGATAGAGATGAGATTCTTTAGGGAGTTCATTCTTATCTAAATAGAGGAGTCCGAGATGGATGTAATCTTGGTGAAATGATAGTCCTACAAAGTGATACTTCTAGAGGACGAGGGCACTATTGACTATAAAAGTAAAGCACTCCCGTGGGCTTAAGATACTCTTTAATTGAGAGTTGTTTTATTTGTGCCGATATTTTGTGAGATAAATGACTGACTTGATCGTTGAAATGCTCTTAGTGGACGAGCCACCGTGGTATTTCTTACTCTCTTGTGCACAGGTGTTGGCTTAATCTATTCTATCGTGTACTCTCCAACTAAGTTCCTTAAATCTCAATAGAAAGATCTGTTTGGTTGTGAGGTCGGAGAGTACTCTCCAACTGAGTTCTCTAATCTATTCTGTCGTATAGTGTTTGACTAAGTTCCTACAAGAATAACGTCTCTTACCAAATTTGATGAAAAAAGAAATTTGGAATAAAAGAAAAAATTTTAAAAAGTTTTTGGAAAAAATTTAAATAAAGAATTAAAATAATTCATATCAAATCAATTTTTTACTTAAATTTAAAATTAAATTTAATGAAAAAATTGTTGAAAGATTGGAGATGTTACAAGTAACCTTTTTTTTATTTCATGCGCTTTCTCGTAAGCCAAACGGATCGAAAAGTAAAAGATAAAGAGCAAGGGCAAATTGGTCACTCAAAGAATTCTGATATAATGAAAATCTCTTCCCCTCCCCTAATCACTCTCTATTACTTGCATTCCTTCAACTCCAGGACGCAGATCCGAGGAGTTGGGAAACCCTAGCTCTTCAGCACAACACAAAACTCTCCACCTCTCTCTCTCTCTCCACACCGATCATCACCAATCTCTCTCTCATCAATCGCAGGTTCGTCGTCTATATTCTCTTCTTCCTCTACCATTCTGTATGTATCTTCCACTGTTCTTCGTTATCGATAACGCAAAAGTTTTTTTTTTTATAGATCGATCCATGTTCGCATGCTTGTAAATTATTTGTATTTTAGCATATACATACGTCGATTTCTGGTTGTATTAAGCCATCTTTTGAAACGGAAAAGAAGAAAAGCAAAGAACGTTTGAAGCTGTTATGTTTGTTGTGGTTTGGTTTGGTTTGAAGCTATTCAGCTATTAAACTGAATAGCTGTGCCTGGATGCTTTTAACTTTGATAGATAAAAGCTGTTATCTATTGAAAAAACACCATGGTATTCTGTTTGGCGTGCATGTTTGACTTTTGAAGCAATTAGAATATGTGAATGGCCGTTGTGTTCATAGTTTTGTATGTAATTTTTATTTTTGAAGCCCATTGCGTGGGGATTGAGAGACCTCTTGGGAATACATAAAGCTAGAGAGACCTTTACTCTTTACTAAAAACTCATTAGGGGTTGGCAGAGCCAGGAATTTAGTAGAGGGGGGCAAATGTTAAGATAAATTTTTGGGTGAGGTCGGTCGGTTTGGAACACAAAGCTTAGTTGGGTGAAATTTTTTGTTTTTTGTTTTATCAATATTTTTCAAAATTACTCCAATAGCTAAGATAAAAACGATTGTAAATTGACATCTATAGAATGGTGAAGTACAATATAAAATAGAATAAAAAAATATCAATTAAATACACACACTAAAAAGAAAATATCTTCTTAAATTTGTATTAAATAAGAAGGCAATCTTTGTCAATATTTTTATTGATGGTGGGTTGAATTTGTTGGAAGAAAAATAAGAAAATTTTGAAGGGTATTATATAATTTTAGAAGGGAAAATTTGAAAACATTTTCAAAACCTAAGCTAAAATTGTATTTTTTTGAAAAGTTGAGGAGAGGCAGGTGTCCTACACTCGATCTGTCCCCAAGTGGTTGGTACTTGGGGTTGGAACTTAATACCATCTTTTTTTAAAATTTTATTTTATTTTATTTTTTGTTTTATAAGGGGAAAAAAAATGGTGAGATGTTTTTCTTAATTCTTTCTTATTTGTCTTCAGGATTTAAGGTTTAAATTTGATCTTTAAGTTATTGCATTGTTGATCTATTATTGCTTCTCCAATATCAATAGTTACATTTAGTTGCTTTTTCTGTGAATGTCCTTTATGCATGCAAGAGCTTGACTGTTACTGAACTTTGGGGGAAGAGGGAAAGCTGCCTGAGGCACTGGACTAACCTCCTGATATCCCAATGGCCATCTCAATCTGTTTGTCTCCCCACAGTACAAAAAGTTTAATGCTTGTATGTCACCTTATATGGTTTGCAAGCTTGGCTCTTCTGTTGCGTTACCCCAAAATAGAGGTTCTTGCATCTTATATGAAAAAGGACGTGCTTGCATCTTGGTCGGTGGCAAAATTTGTTGTATTATCTTTTCATGTGTCTTCATATGTGCGTTGCGTGCATGAGAGAGTGAGTGAGAGAGATAGAGAGAGTAGTAAAAGAAAGAGTTCCTCCAGTGTAGTACAATCATTAATGCACTGGAGAAACCTTTTTCTTTTACTTCTGTGTGTGTTTGTGTGTGATAGGGCAGAGGGAGTTGCAATGTTTTTTAAATTTTCCTGTTGATTTTATGAATAAGGAACTGTTTTTGTAACCCAAATATGTTTTGGCTGGTTCAGTGTTGTTGCAAATTGTCAACCTTTCTTGTCCTAAAGATCTCAATTTGCCAAATGTTATTTATGATTTTTTTGGTTTCAGTCATGGCAGGTTTGGCACCCGAAGGATCGCAATTTGATACTCGTCAATATGATGCCAAAATGACTGAGTTGTAAGTTCTTTGTCACCTGCTCTGTCTGTTTCACTATAGCTATATTAAAATGTTTTGTCTAAATTATTTTAACATCTACATATGACTTTTGGTGGATGATTACATTTATGCTTATTTTTTGTTGAATTGATTGGCACAGACTGTCATCTGATGGACAAGATTTTTTCACATCGTATGATGAGGTATGTGAAAGCTTTGATGCTATGGGATTGCAAGAGAACCTCCTTAGGGGCATCTATGCTTATGGTAAGTATTCGGAAGCTATTCTAGTACTTTAAAAAATTTGAGAGTGGATGTTTTCTCTATTCACTAGATATACTTGTTATTGCATTGGTGATCAAATCATTTTGGAACCGCCATTTTTTTTTTATATTCCACTTCTGTTCTGCATGATTCTTGTCCCCAATTGTCAAATTTAGAAGCTTGCCCACCTTCATAGTCGAAGATTTTGTTCTTACATGATAAGCTTGCCCACCTTCTTGATAAGTATTACATGATAAGTATTATAGGATAAGTTATTACATGATTGATAATTACTTGTGTTTATAATGAGCATGTTATTCTAGTGGACCTCGTATTGAGATTTTCAATATGACCTTTCCTATTTATTTTGAAGGTTTTGAGAAGCCATCCGCAATCCAGCAAAGGGGAATTGTTCCATTCTGCAAGGGACTTGACGTTATTCAGCAGGCCCAGTCTGGAACCGGAAAAACTGCTACTTTCTGCTCTGGAATCCTGCAGCAACTTGATTATGGTTTAGTGCAATGCCAGGCTTTGGTTTTGGCACCTACTCGAGAACTTGCACAGCAGATTGAGAAGGTTATGCGAGCACTTGGTGACTACCTTGGTGTGAAAGTTCATGCTTGTGTTGGTGGGACCAGTGTTCGTGAGGATCAACGTATTCTTTCCAGTGGTGTTCATGTTGTTGTTGGCACCCCTGGTCGCGTGTTTGACATGTTGCGAAGGCAGTCACTTCGCCCTGATTACATTAAAATGTTTGTGTTGGATGAGGCTGATGAAATGCTTTCACGAGGTTTTAAAGATCAGGTCCTTTTTTTTCCCTCCAATTTTCTTTTATTTTGTGTGCATCTCTACTCTTGCATCATTGCATGCATATAGACATAAATACATGTTTAAATGTGCATGCATATGTGCATGTTCATGTAACCAGTGACATCATGTGCCCATATGTGGCACACAATTTCTCTTGGGTGGGTTATTAATTATTAACAACATAAGTCATCAGTCCCCAATTTTTTTAAAATTTTTTTTTTTATTTGTTAAAGTAAAAGCATGAAGAAGCTCTTTGTTGATTTTGGAATGGTAATAACCAGATTAGATCTTATCCTGGAATTGAATGAGTTGCTGGTAATATTGTTATGGCCTTATAAAACTGAAACTGATGAACTTGAATGTCATGAAGTAACAGATTGCTTTATGAAAAAAATAATATACTTAAAATTGAGCAGAGGCTGTTACTTTTCAGTTTCGGTAGGAGCTTGCTAGGATGCCCTTAGAGAAACTAAATGCTATCTGTATGATTTTTCTATATTTGTTTCATATATTCATTGTGTGGAGCTTCGATTTTTTCCCCCACTCTTTTAATTTGTCCTCGTTAACTGGACAACTTTTATGACTATTTGCATAGTATAGGTGTTCCTATCGTATTATATATAGACGGTATTGGAACAGAAATAAAACACAATAACAAATCAACTGTAGTTAATGCAACTTTATGCATGTTCATCTCATTGTCAACATTATGAGCAATTGAAGTGTAGATTCCAATTTTATGAGACTTGATGACAACATGAGACATTAATTTGCTTTGCTGGAAAATCTTAGCTTCTCTTATTGTTAGACTTCTCAGTGTGCTTGTTTATTTGGGTCTCTTCTATTCTGTGTTAAGAACTATTGGTATATCAAAATCTTCACTTGCATGGGAATTGGTGCTTTGAATTATAAATTTCATAATTATGCCTCTATTTTCCTCGGAATAGATTGACTTAGTCTTGTTCTAAACAACTATATTTAGAATGAGTTTCTTGAGATTTGAGAATAATTTTTCATATTATCTTTTCTGATAATGGATTTCCGTCCTGTCAGATCTATGACATTTTCCAGCTGCTGCCATCTAAAGTTCAAGTTGGGGTATTCTCCGCCACAATGCCACCTGAAGCTCTTGAGATTACAAGAAAGTTCATGAACAAGCCTGTGAGGATCTTGGTAAAACGTGATGAGCTCACCCTTGAGGGTATTAAGCAGTTTTATGTCAACGTTGACAAGGAAGAATGGAAGCTTGAAACACTCTGTGATCTCTATGAAACACTGGCCATTACCCAGAGTGTCATTTTTGTTAACACCAGGCGAAAGGTTGACTGGCTTACTGACAAAATGCGAAGCCGTGACCACACAGTCTCAGCCACTCATGGAGACATGGATCAGAACACTCGGGACATAATTATGCGTGAATTTCGCTCTGGCTCATCTCGTGTTCTCATCACCACAGATCTCTTGGCTCGTGGTATTGATGTGCAGCAAGTCTCCCTTGTCATAAACTATGACCTGCCAACTCAGCCAGAAAATTATCTCCACCGTATTGGACGAAGTGGACGTTTTGGAAGAAAAGGCGTTGCTATTAACTTTGTGACGAAGGAAGATGAGAGAATGCTAGCTGATATTCAGAGGTTCTATAATGTGCTTGTTGAAGAGCTGCCATCCAATGTTGCTGATCTCCTCTAATGAGGTTTTTCCTGGTTCAGTGAGGTAAGGGGTTTCTGGTCAAGCAAGTAATAGTTAGTTTTTTTTTGGTGTCTAGTGTCTTAATTCAATGTTGCAAAACATATCTGACCATCTGATGATATGTGCCCTGACATTAGCGCTTGGGTGGGTGAGTGTCAAGTTACCCATTTGTGTCTGGTGGGCATGTGATTATGCAAGTTTTGTTGCAGGTAGGGTTTTGTACCGTATGTCCTTTTTCCTCTTTTTATTTTTTACTTTTGTTTTGTTTTTTTTTTGTTTTTTTCTTTCATGTTTTATTTAATTATCAAGAATATTGTAGATTTGATCGGTTTCCTAATGGCCAAGGTCTTTTAATTTTAAGAAGGGGATACATTATAAAATTGCATCAAGATTTTTATTTGCATTGACGACTAGACCTACTTTACGTTTGATTTGTTTCCTTATTGCCAAGGCCTTTTAATTTCAAGATCGGGATACATTATAAAATTGCATGAAGATTTTTATTTGCATTGGTGACTAGACCTACTTCACGTTTGATTGGCTTCCTTATCGCCAAGGCCTTTTAATTTTAAGAAGGGGATACATTATAAAATTGCTTCAAGATTTTTATTTGCATTGGTGACTAAACCTACTTCACCTTTGTTTCTGCCTTTTACAGATACATTTTGTTTATTGGCTGCTCTGTTTAGTGGGAGTATTATTTATTTATTAATGATTCTGTCTGTTGGCATGACTTGTGTTGATTTTTTTCTTTTTTTGTTGGGGATGATGCATGGTGTTCGTTCAGACTTGGGGATTAAATGATGCTTTAAGATAATTATGATAGTTGCACCTACAGTGAATTGCCCTCATGTTTCTTCTTTTCTTTCTTTGGGGGTTTGGTGGGAACGAGTATATGCATTTTAGATTTTTTTGGTGGTGAACTGGTCAAAAAATATTGCAGATGGCAGAGTGCCTTTTGGTTTTTTTCCCCACTCTTAACCCTTCTCCCAATCTATTATGTCATCCTTGTCATCCCCTATGAATCAGATTGAACATTTTCCACCATGACAATTATATTGTGGAGTTGAAATGACTTTGTGGACGGCGGATTTGCCTCACACTGGATGAGAGCAAGGTGAGCGCTTTGTTTTCCTAGGGCCTGCAAAACAAATAAGGCTGCTAAGAGGGCTGTCGTAGGTTTTGGTCGGGAGAGCATTCAGACTGTCAATTCAGTACTTGACCAAGATGTTCAAGAGTAGAGAAGAGATGGTTAGTTGTGATGTATCGGTTATGCTGCCTTCCCCTCTATTTATAATGTAGTAGACCTCCTCCTTGGTTTAGACATCCTATCACCCATTGGACCTTGTTAGACATCTGATGGTCCAACTTTATTGCTTGTCTTTTCATTTAACTGGATACTTCTCTTAGTCGATTTAGTCATTCCCACCATTTTCTTGGTGTGTGCTCGCCTAACTCTTTTGGGCTTTTGTGGAGGTACCTCGTGATTTGGCTCACCTTCTCTTATACATCTATTCGGGTCCATCCTGTGCCAATTGCAGGTTTCCACTCCGGAAAATGCTAGAAACCCAAAATATTTATCAAATTTTTTATCAAATACGAGACATTTGGTAAAATTTTTGATAAATCTTTTGGGTCTGGCATTATGTTGGGAGGGGAGGGCATCATAAAATATTTTTACCAACGCACTATGTCTCTGTCTCTCTCAAGCAAGCCAATGTTCTCTTTATGGGGCCTACTATGTTTTGTTCTTTATTTTATTTATTTATTTTGAATGATTGTTTATTTATTTATTTATTTTGATTATCTGACTCACAATAGCAAGAAACAAAAAGATTTTCTTCAATTTTTCATTTCCACAACAACATTCATCTATCTCAACACACATTTTCAAGATGAATCAAACTTATATGTTTTACACATTTGTAATTATCATTCACCCAATTTTAAGGTTTAAAAGTCAATTGAGCTAAACTCCATTATTGAATAAAATTTAGAAACTTGGGGTGTCTTGGTTTGGTTTGGTTTGGTTTGGTTTTGAGAGATAAATTTTCAAAAAAGATTTTGAGGAGAGTTTAGAAATTTTTTTTTTTGATTGTATATTTTAGAAATAGTTTTGTAGTATGAGAGTTTAGGATGATTTGATGTTTTGTTGTAATTAAGTAGATGTGTGTCAGAGAGAAAAGAGAGAAAAAGTGATTGAGAAGGAGAGAGGAGAGAGAAAAAATGATTGATTGATGTGTAAAAGAGAGTGATTTTGAATTTTTTTTTCTAAAATCACTAAATCAAGCAAAATTTTGTAAAATTTTCTCTAAAATTTGTTTCTCAAATGCAAACTAAACAAGGCTTAGATTTTAAAAAAAAATTGGAGATTTCTCCTCTTTTACATGTAAAGAGCCAATACTCATCATTAACAATAATAATCAATAAGAAACATTTATTATCTTTTTAAAAAATTTTAATCGTTGGGCAACAGGCCGGTTTAGTTAAAAAGTTCAAAAGTTACTAAAAAAGTCAAAAAGTCAACAACTCATATAAAAAAGTCAAAAATTTTCTTTTCTTTCAACATTTTGCACATCTTTTTGTAAAAAGTTAAAAAGTCATTCCAAATATACCAGTTTTTTTTTAGCTCATATTTTAGCCAAATAACCAAAAAGTTACTAAATTAGCCTGTTCCTAAACGAGGCCAAGTATAAGCCTCTTTTTGTTTGTCAAACCCATTTTATACAATAAAATCATCTTATATATTTCTATAACTAAGAAAATACTACATATATACCTCAAATTATAGATAGTCAAAAAGTTAAAAAGGCATTATAAGTTGTCACATCGTTTTTTTTATTTATTTTATTTTATGTTTTTGCATATTTTTTTCATAAGAAATTAAAAAATTACTAAAATAATCCGTTATCAAACAAGACCTAAAAATACCTCTACTACCTCAAAATCAAGGCAAAAAGATGAAAACCCAAAGAGATTTTTAAGAAAAACATGATTCAATCAGTAGAAAAATTGATCTTCACTTCATCTTCACTTTTTGCAAGGGATCTAGGCTTAATTCTTAGTGAAATGAGAAATTTTTAGAGAGAGAACTTGGGTTTTGGAGTATAGGATAGGGAAAAGAAAGAGAAAAAGAAAAAGTTAAAGAAATATAACCCAAAAAGCAATTTTTAAGTTGTTGATATCGCGCAGACTGCTTGAGTGGTGAACTCAATCTCTCAATCTCTCACTGTTCGAACACGTCAACCTTATTTTCATATGTAAGCATTTAAGTAAATGCTAAATGAAAGCATTTACTTAAGTGTACAATGTAAATAAGGAAATACTCCCATTTAGATTCACAGAAAAATACAAAAAAAAATTAAAATCCAAGTAAATCAAAAGTAGTTTCCTTAGTTTTAGTATAAAAATAATTTTTCGACTGAAATTTTTAAGTTTAATGTTGAAGTAAAGGGGTTAATACTTTGTAGAAAAATCCTATAAAATTAAATTAGACTATTTAATATATAAGGAACAATTACCATTAAAATTTATTTTCAAAATCGTAAGTTTTGAAAAACTCAATTTTCACACTCGGTAAATTTTCAACCTAAGTCCAATTTTTGACAGAAAATCTTTTCTAAATCAAGTAAAATTTTGTAAAATTTTCTCTAAAATTTGTTTCTCAAAAGCAAACTAAACAAGGCTTAGATTTAAAAAAAAAATGGAGATTTCTCCTCTTTTACATGTAAAGAGCCAATACTCATCATTAACAATAATAATCAATAAGAAACATTTATAATCTTTCTAAAAAATGTTAATCGTTGGGCAACAGGCCGGTTTAGTTCAAAAGTTACTAAAAAAGTCAAAAAATCAACAACCCATATAAAAAAGTCAAAGATTTCTTTTTCTTTCAACTTTTTGCACATTTTTTTGTAAAAAGTCAAAAAGTCATCCCAAACATATTAGTTTTTTTTTAGCTCATATTTTAGCCAAATAATCAAAAAGTTACTAAATTAGCCTGTTCCCAAACGAGGCCAAGTATAAGCCTCTTTTTGTTTGTCAAACCCATTTTATACAATAAAATCATCTTATATATTTCTATAACTAAGAAAATACAACACATATACCTCAAATTATAGATAGTCAAAAAGTTAAAAAGGCATTATAAGTTGTCACATCGTTTTTTTTATTTATTTTATTTTATGTTTTTGCATATTTTTTTCATAAAAAATTAAAAAATTACTAAAATAATTTGTTATCAAACAAGACCTAAAAATACCTCTACTACCTCAAAATCAAGGCAAAAGATGAAAACCCAAAGAGATTTTTAAGAAAAACATGATTCAATCAGTAGAAAAATTGATCTTCACTTCATCTTCACTTTTTGCAAGGGATCTAGGCTTAATTCTTAGTGAAATGAGAAATTTTTAGAGAGAGAACTTGGGTTTTGGAGTATAGGATAGGGAAAAGAAAGAGAAAAAGAAAAAGTTAAAGAAATATAACCCAAAAAGCAATTTTTAAGTTGTTGATATCGCGCAGACTGCTTGAGTGGTGAACTCAATCTCTCAATCTCTCACTGTTCGAACACGTCAACCTTATTTTCATATGTAAGCATTTAAGTAAATGCTAAATGAAAGCATTTACTTAAGTGTACAATGTAAATAAGGAAATACTCCCATTTAGATTCACAGAAAAATACAAAAAAAAATTAAAATCCAAGTAAATCAAAAGTAGTTTCCTTAGTTTTAGTATAAAAATAATTTTTCGACTGAAATTTTTAAGTTTAATGTTGAAGTAAAGGGGTTAATACTTTGTAGAAAAATCCTATAAAATTAAATTAGACTATTTAATATATAAGGAACAATTACCATTAAAATTTATTTTCAAAATCGTAAGTTTTGAAAAACTCAATTTTCACACTCGGTAAATTTTCAACCTAAGTCCAATTTTTGACAGAAAATCTTTTTCTAACATCTTTATACGAAAAGGAATAAGGGTCGGGTGTCGACCCGAGCAGTTACATATATCACCTGCTATTGTTTTTTTTTGTATTTTTTAAAATTTATTTATTTATTTTTATTTCTATACCATCTCGTCCCTTAATTATGATGTCTTAGTCCTCGCTTTTGTGGTTAGATTTTGTCCTTACTTTTGTTGATTGAGTTTTCTTTGATAATTCATGACAGAAAGGAAGAGTATGTTTGAGGGGGAGATTTTTTAGGTGATGTTGTTGCTTGATAGCATGATATTCTTTTAAAATTTTCATATTGTTATATGTTTCATGTTATCATATATTCTTATGGCACTAATAGCTGTTTTGCAAATTTTGACCTTGAGAAAGTTGTCTTTGTCGGTTGTAATGTTGTCACGGAATTGCCAAA